GAACATCATGGCGCCGATCACGTTGGACGTCCCGATGGTAGTTGAAGCCTGAACTCGGGGTTGGAATACCACACTCACATAGATGCTATGTATTATACCTGTATATTTACATTTACCTCCTATAAAAGATAAGAATCAAAATGCGTGGAGATATGAGGAGGTAAACGCATAAGTGTCTATATGAAGATAGAGTTCAGGCCACTCGAAAACTGAAGGGTGATTTCAATATGATATAGGAGCCGTATGGTTGTCTACCCAGATTCTAGCCAGACGGCTTTTGGCATATATATGCATCGGGTGTCCCAGTATATAGGTTACCTGTATATACTATGTTCAAACTATTCGTGCCACTCTGTGTAGGAATGAATGCTTCATTCTCCCTTACATGCACGTATTCAGTCACTAACCTGGCCAACCCAAGTTTCCTAGGCCAAAATAACTATAAAGAGAGTATTTGTAGGGCCCATTCTATATTTCTAGGAGTGTTAAAAAGCCCAGTGGGTCCATGCTAGGATGTAGCGGAGTTGAAACCTCGTGTGCCTATATCCCTATCTGGCTTGTGCAGGTTTCCACCTGAAGCTGGACACCCCCTTGGCTACCACATTGTGTTATTACAGTACCCATATAGGTGGCTTGAAATATATATTTGGATATCATATACTCTACACTGGGTGGAAGAAGGGAAAGCGGTTGTAGGGACAAAATAATTCCATATGGCTTATTTCATGGGTTTCTCTACCAGTTTGTATTCAATCTTTGAGATCTTATATTCGGCTGAAAGCCTCTTTTCCTGGCTTTAAAATGATACTATATTTGTATAAAAACGACTGCGATTCGCTAAGGTATGTGTGTTTGAAGACGGGAAGGACCGTTTTGTGAATGTTTTGTCCCCAACTGTAGATGCTTTATACCATACCTGTTAATTTACGTCCTATGATAGATAAGAAACAAGATGCATAGGGATACGAAGAAACAAGTGTACAATCTTCTGTACGAAGGTCAAGTGCAAGTGTCTCAAAAATTAAAGAAAACGCAATTCTGGTCTCCCAAAAGACATTAGACCCATATAATATAGGTTTCGCTTGGCGAAACAGAGCACAAAAAGGATTACGCCGTGGGGGAATCGAACCCCCGCCGCTTGCTGCCCGTTGCTTAGGTAAGCAATTTTAGTGGAAGGCAAGCATGATAACCATTTCACCAACGGCGTCTGATGCTAGATCCTGGTTTGCCTATTTATCACTTTTCCATTGTCTCTTCGAATAATTGCTCGATCACCTTGATCGGCCCGCATCGGTGATTAGATTAGCTTCACTTTTTCTTCCTCCACTCTTCCACCAGCTCCCGCCCCCCTCGTCACAATGGCCCCTATCACCTCGTCTGGAAAGCACAAAGAGTCGGGCACTGCCCGCGTTCTCGGTTCTGGGGCCTCCGGTAAATGTTGTCTACTGAACCTGCCAAAAATAATCTGACTCGTGTGTGTAGGGGTCGCGGAATTGTTGGTCTTTCACCCTGTCGACACCATTGCCAAGCGGCTTATGAGTAATAAAGCCAAGGTTTGTATATGCTCTAAGAGTTTTCGTTATTCGGTCATTTAAACGGTTCGCATAGGTCTCGTTCTCTACCTTATCGCCAATCATCTTCCGAGAGTATTCGAGTGCTCCTCTCTTGAAAAAGGCATTCAGCTTGTTCCCGGGGTTGGGATATGCCGCAGGTTACAAGGTACGTCTGCCCTCTGACTCTAGTTACAAGTCCGTGCTATATCTCTCAATAGGTCTCACAACGGATATACAAGTTCGGTGGACAACCATACTTCAATGACCTCATTTCCTCGCACTACAAGCAGAATTTCACCAACACCTTTGGAGAGAAGAACGGAAAGATGTTGATGCATGCGTGTGCCGGCAGGTGAGGCATCCTGCCCTACCTCACAAATCTTCTGTTCACTCTTGCAGCCTGACTGGTATCGGCGAGGTTGTTCTCCTCCCCCTCGATGTCCTCAAAATCAAGCGTCAAGTAAACCCTGAAGCATTCCGTGGTCGAGGAGTATTAAAGATTGTCGTAGACGAAGGATTTGCTCTCTATCGCGGTTGGGGATGGACAATGGCACGAAATGCGCCTGGTTCCTTTGCGGTGTGTTCCCATCATTTTCATTTCATTTCGAATGATCTCATGAAATTTGATTTAGCTATTCGGAGCGTCCTCATTTACCAAGTCCAAGATTTTGCACATCGAGGATTACTCCAAGGCAACTTGGACTCAAAATTTCGTTGCCTCGATTGCTGGTGCCGTTGCTAGTATCACGGTTGCGGCTCCTCTTGATGTTGTCAAGACTCGTATCCAAAATGCCAACTTCGAGTCTAACGTAAGTTGTTCTCTTAACCGTAAATTCGAATATTTGTTGATGGATCCATAGGTCGGTGGTTTCACTGTCGTAAAGGACCTGGTTAAGAACGAGGGCGTAACCGCATTCTTCAAGGGCCTTACTCCCAAGGTGGGTTTTCATATCCTTGTCACGTCTTCTTATACTCACATTTTTGTAGATTATCGTTGTCGGACCTAAGCTCGTCTTCAGCTACACCCTCGCCCAGTCCCTCATTCCTTTCTTTGCCAACTACGTGTGAAGCCTCAGCCCCTGTATTCATAGATGCAGACGGGTATTTGTTTTGATCTTCATTAGATTATTTGATTTGAACTGAATCTCCACTCTTGATACCTGAGTACCTCTTGTGATTTTATTGGATATACACACTCAACTCAATCGTTCTAGCTTGAAAACATGTTACCGTGCCAAGCCAAGAGTCATGTTCAACGTTGGCATGCATTCATTCATTTGGGCATCACGGTTATCATACAAAGCATTGTCGCAAGGCGTGGCCATAGAAAATAGGAAAACCAGGGAGAATGCAGTTAGTATGATTGACGAAGGGTAAGGGTTGAAAAACCGAACGGTAGATCAACAAAGTAGTGTTTTAACAACTGAGCTGTATGTAAATTAGTACGATTAGATTCCACGATATCGATACCAACTCACAGTCAGTCGATTTTCGCATCGTTCATCCTTATTTCCTCCTTTCTCAACTCTGATAATCACGGAACAAACACCTGGCCCTCGGTGCTCCGAGCCCCACGGAGCGGGAAATTCCAAGGATCAACAACATTTTGGAGCCAATCGTATGGGGGGGGGGGGTTGTACGTTGATAGGGTATCATCGGCGCACATTTTATGTAAATACTAGGGATACCGATGTCGTCACCTTACTGTGGATGTTTTCCTAAACTGACTCTCCCCTCACGATACGCGTGCTGACTACCAGCTGCGTTGATTTACTTGCAATGACGTCCGGTCCTCTAGGGATACACACACCTAACCGCTGGTTCACGGATGGGGCAGGCTGGCCAATCTTCACGTGCCAGTGATCAACTGAATTCTGGACGACCGATCCGCGAGCAGTGTACGCAGACTCTCTGGCTTCAGCAAGCAGGGTGATATACACACGCGATCACAAAGATTGCACCACGTGACTCTGGCGGCGTGCAACGGGCATATCTCGTTGAATACAGTGTCCGAGGCTAGAAATATTACTGTAGGTGCAAGCTATGGACAGCAATATATATACGAATTATGAGCCAAAAACTTTGAGTCCTGGGAACCATAGCTGCGGAAAACAGGTAAACGGGGTGGTGCAATCTTTTTGATCCCGCATATAGTCACACGAAAAATGAGATCTACAGTAATATTTCTAGCCTCGGACACTGTATTCAACGAGATATGCCCGTTGCGCGCCGCCATAGTCACTTGGTGCAATCTTTGTGATCGCGTGTGTACATACTCAAGTAACTCAACTCGTATGCGTTGATTCATTTGGTCATTACAGTTACCGTACAGACATTACCATAAAGCTTAGCTATAGAAAATAGGAATATGAACGAAAATACAATTAGTATAATTAACGAGAGGTCAGAGTCACAAAGCCGAACGGTCGATCAACGAGGTAGGGTATCAATGACTGAGCTGTATGTAAATTAGCAAAATCACATTCCGCGGTATCAATACCAACTCACAGTCAGCCGATTTGCACATCATCCATCCTTATTTCCTCCCTCGACTCTGATAATCACGGTACGCAGCCTCAAGATTAAGCACGAATGCCTGGCCCTCGGCGCTCCGAGTCCCACGGAACGGGAAATTCCAAGGATCGACAACATTTTGAAGCCATCCGTTTGCATCGATCGAGCGAGAAATGAGCGTGCGGGCGCGACCGGCAGAGGCCACAGCCGCGTCTATGTCGGCGTTGGACCCAGTCGTGTGGAGGTGTGTCGCGAGTCGATACGTCGCGGCAGCCAGGAGAGCTGTACTTGCTGAGTCGGCAAACGATGAGCCATCAGTTGCGTAATTTAAGAGTGTGCCATTTTGTTGCTGAAACCGAGTTATAGCAATAAACCCGCCAAGTCCTAACTGACAGACGCACCTGATATTTCCACACGTTGCAGATGATTTCCAAGGCCCAGCCTTCAAGATTCGCTTGTTCGTTGATAAACCGGCCACCGAGGGATGATTCCTTGATCGTCGCCAGGACACGCATAATCCCAGCCGCCGCCCAGCCGTTTCCGGTGGACCAATGATTGAGGTCCTCGCCATTTCCGAGCACAATATGACGCCAAAGTCCAACGCTGCCGTCAAAGAGTAGATCTCTATACAGTCGAACCTAACGTAATGGTTAACATCGGTACACGTTGCCCGGCGCTTCCTAATACATACCTGATCATACGCAGCACGCATAACACCCTCATCACTGTGCAATGCGCCGAAGTAAGCCAAGAAAGGAGGAAGCATATATACTGAATCGGCCCATAGCTGAACTTGATCGGCGCGATGGGAAATTGCGCCGTTGGGGGCACGAGGCGCACGGGTTAGGCTATAGTTCAATTGATCGATGATCGCGCTTGCATAGCTACTCGAATTGGTAGATGAAGGTGAACGAACTGTCCAATTGGCGAATAGCATTGAAACGCCAAGACCTATTGTTTCTCGTCAGGGGATGCCAAACCACTTGGACTCGAGGACGTACTTGGCGGATCCCCGGCTGCCTGATCGGGCGTGAAGCTCGATACACCAGGAGGACGCGCGAGGAGGACTTGATCCGTGATCTGCAAAACTTTGCTAATGTCTGCGTTCTTCGGGAGCGATTTCGGTGGAGCCACAAAGTTATCTCCGTATACCGAAAAAGAAGGGTACTCGAACTCGAACAGGCTTTGAGTTGCGGTGCCAAGCTCCCAACTACACATGACCATGAGCGAGGCCTACACGGGGAGGGCACGATGCTTACCTCCCCTTGGACTGCTCCAGCATGCGCGCTTCGACGGCAGCAAGTTGGGACGATGATAGCAGCTGAACCGTGGTCGAGCTGTCCTGTCGAGGTAGGAGGGGCCAAGTATTCACAAACCCGATGCACCAGAGTAGAATTATCGTAGGGAGTAAAATAACCGAGGGCATCATCGTGCAGGTCGTTAGAAGCGTTCAAGCAAAGGAGGCGAGCCGAATGAGCATATGCGGGGGGAACATCAGATCAAGGCAATTATATAGGCAAATCCACCTGTCAAAAGCAAAGGCAAACGCGCCCCATGGGTCCACCACGTGGAACCGAGGTCAGACACATGTCGGTCCGCCGTAATGCGCACGCGTCACAGGCGTGGAGCTAGTTCCTTGAAAAAGATTTCGGGCGGCCTTGGGACCAGACCCTTGTCTGATAAGGATGGAATTTTCCACAACAGGAAGGACCATTTAGACTTTGTTTACTTGACGTCAAATTAAACTGGCACGGTGGGGCAGTGGAGTGGCAGTGGAGTCGACACCAGACTTTGGTAGGGCAAACAAGTTGCACAGATGACCTCCCGAGGCGAATCCGAAGGCTGTAGGTCTTGGAGTGAGAGCGGTGGCAGTCTATTTTGTTGGAGACGCACAAACTGGGCAACATTTAGTTCCTCACGGTTGGGGTTCCTCATGGTTGGGAGTTCTTCGGGTTGTAGGGGTAGGCACAAGGGATTGGAGCCCCCGGGGTAACCACAGCGAAGTAATAGCTACGAAAAACCATATAAGATGGAGATCCTAGCCAGCCGTCGTATTGACCCTGTTGAAAGTTGGTATAGTGGTGGTAGGCGATGGCGTGGATTAATGTCACGTGCACCCCAGTGTCTTGGCACGCTTTTT